GGAAGGGGCAGGTTTATTTCTGGTTTACCTTATCCAAGAGTCTAGCCCTTTGGGGTCCCACCCTCATATAGGGAGGGTCTCTCCTTAGACCCCTAACCTTTGGTGGGCCCTGGACTTCGACTCTGTCCCTCTGGCCCCAGGAGGCCATCAAGCCTGAAGCTTAAATGGACTGAGTTTGGTTTCTGGCTTCAGGCCGGAGCTGGCTCTGTGCTCACTTACCTCTCTGGGTCCGTGCTTTTCCTCGGGCCTTACCCTGGCATTCCCTTCGTCTTGTCGGGTCTGTGCTTTTAAGTAGAATTTTAAAAATATATCTTTTCCAGCTTTTAATTTTTTTTCCAGTGGGAAGATTATTCAAGTTACCTCTCCACAGTATTCCCAGAAATGGAAAACTAATGTTTTTTCCTGTGCAGAGTTTTTGTTCCCTTCCCTTGATATCTAGCTTTACAATATAACGAATACGTTTCTGTGTTACTCTGACCCCCTTGCAAGTGTAACTCTGAATGGCCGAAACAGCACTTCACTCTCCTCCGCTGTCCTGCTTCGGTGGGCTCATTTTTCTTAGTAATGCATGGCAACGAGACGACAGCCGTGTACGGAAGCCTGTGCTGTGACTAGATTATTCCTTTAGGGAGATTTCCGAACCTGGCTTACAGGCCAGAGAGCCAGGACATCGATGAGTCTCCATACATGTTATTTCCCAGGGGGCTGTGCCGGTCTGCACTCCCCACCGCATTTAAGGATGTCTGGTCTCTCAGACAAGTAGAGATCTTCTTCAATAGGCTCTCCTGGCAGATAGAGCATTGAAGGGGGACCACAGGGGACACGGGGAGGTCTCCTGAGCTGCAGCCCCCTGTCCCCAGTGCCGCTCGTGGCCCGTCAGAGTTACCCTCCAACCAAGCAAATAGGCACATGGGTTTTTGGGGGATTTGTTGTTGGTAAATGGTGGCATATCACACACTGTCCTGAGCCTGGTTCTACTTGGCCACAAATCTCTGTGCTCAGTGCCCATCGGCACATAGAGCTGCTTGATCCTTCTGCAGCGGCACAGGCCCCAGTGGGTGGGGACCGCGGGCAGCGACCCGGCCAGCACGTGGACAGTCTGTTGTTGCCAGTCTTGTGCTTGAACAAATGCTGCTGCCGTTAGCAGCCCCCTGCGCCCATCTCCGCACGTGCGTGTGGGAAAGGAAAGAGCGGCTGAGGACGAACTCCCAGGAGTGGGCTGCCGGGTAGAGGTCGGGGGGAGTGGGCTGCTGGGGGGCAGTCAGCGACCTGAGCGTCCTGTTCCTGTTTCTCTCCAGGGTGATGCTGACAGGGACGCTGTCGGACCGGCAGCCGGCTGAACTCCACCTCTTCCGCAATTACGAGGCCCCGGAGTGTGCACGGGAGCCTCGCTGCAGCCAGAACATTAACCTCAAGCCTCCAACTCAGCCCTCAGGTTAACACCATGTTTGCCGCATCTGTGGGAAGCGACTGACCTGCGAGGCGTGGGGTGGGGGTGGGAGTCGTAGGCTTGTCACTGGCACCCCTGCCCACCCCCTCCCATCTGCTGCCCTGCGTCTTTATTGGCTGAGGACAGGCAGAGTGGAGGCCCTCAGCTGCACCCGCCTTCTACGGGGGAGGAGTGGGACAGACAGCATGCCTTGCTGGGCCTGTTCCTGAAGAGTTCCCAGCCTCTCCCTTCTCCTGCAGCCACACACACACACACACACACATGCACACATGTATACACGTGCATACACACAGGCACATACACACGCATGCACATACACACGCATACTGAGATCTGAAGAGCTCGGAAATTGTACCAGTCCCTTGTCCCACTGGGCCACCCTCCTCCCCACCCGCAGAGCAGCTGGTGTGGCGGGCAGCCCGGAGCAGTGGGGCAGCTCCCACCTACTTCCGGCCGAGTGGGCGCTACCTGGATGGCGGGCTGCTGGCCAACAACCCCACGCTGGACGCCATGACCGAGATCCATGAGTACAACCAGGACATGATCCGCAAGGTGAGAGCCCCTCAGGTCCCA